TTCCGATCTCGCCGACGGTGCTCAGGATACGCGCGGTTGTTCCCACACCGGCGTTACCCACGGCAACCACCGCATTTGATGCAACCGTTTCGCCAGCAGTTATTGCTCCTCCCTGTAGCACCGCCCCCAATGCTGACCCCGCCCCTACAGCTCCGCCCACTCCTGCAGCCACGCCCACCACCGCAGCGCCGACCACGCCCACCTGCTGCATTGCTTCCAGCGCAGCTTCTCTCGTTCCCACGGCCTCCGCGCCTGCTAGCGCTCCCACCGATCCTCCCAAAACGCCGCCCGTCGCTGCTCCCAGAGCCATCGCGCTCTTTCCGGTCACCGCCGCTACTATTGCGCTTCCCGCCGCCGATCCGCCGCCCATCACGGAGACTCCCGCCGCAATTGACAAAGGAGCTGCGGCTCCGAAAACAGCTCCTACCGCCATCCCGGTGGCTCCCGCCGCGACTAGCGCCTTCACACGCTCCAGAACTTTCCCGGAGAGCGCGACTTCGCTTCGGACGCGACTGAGCGCGGATCGCAGGGCCTGGCGTCTGCTGTGACCGCGCCGCCGCTGCTCGTCACGTATTGCGCGATCGGCGTGCAGGAACACGCTGTTGGTGTAACAAGCTCCGCCCATGCTATCCACAATCGTTAGCAGTGTGTTCACTTGCGCACGGTTCTCTGGCTCGTGGTTGTTGAAGACGCAGTAGCGTCCGCCACAGTCGCGCAGAAGTATCTTCAGTCGCTCTGGAGCCGATTCGAGGAAGCTCTTGATCCCGCCGTCATCGTCCAGCTCGTCTCCGCGTGTGAACAGCACCACCGTGTGGCGGAGCGCCTCTTCGCCGAACACGCGCAGCATTTGCGCGACAGCCTGATCTTCGTCCGCCGTGTATCGTCCGAGCGGGATCACCAGCAGGAAGGCGTGCGGCCCGGGAGCCGTGAGTGCAATGCATTTCGCGATTTCTGCGTGAACGCTAGTCGCGTCGAGCCGGGTGTCGCCAAATCCTGGCATGTCTATGATGAGGATGCTCTTCATCGTCCCGCTGGAATCCTCGTCCGTTCGGCCACACTCGCACACGCGTGTCACCGAACCCGCCCTCAGCGCGGACAGGAAGTGACGTCGTCCTAGGATGGTGTTTCCTGTGGCGCTCTTGCCTGAGCCTGTGCGGCCAATCAGAACGAGCCTCAGCTCCGATCTGTCGTGCTCTTCCTCCTCAGAACCGAACGCCTCCTCTCCGCTCGAATGATCTAGAACCAGACCCAGAGTTCACTTCATCATCATCTTTATTTCAACATGCCTAAGAATGTAGTAAACCTGTCTGGGGTCTTACAAACAATAAAAAAATCTCTTTTTAAAAATCCTCGTTAAATCTTACTTTCAAACATCGTTACGTTTGTTTGAAATGTTGCACTTTAAAGGAACTGGACTATTGAAATACACAATACAACACACACACACACACACACACACACACACAAAACTATAAATACTTGTCTTAACAGACAATAGGGATTAAAACAAAAAATGTAATTAAAATAAGTAAAAATTTATAAGTAATTATAAGAAATCATTGTAAATAAAAAACATTTTATTGATTATATTTATATATTAAAAAGTATTTATTTGTACAGAAATGTATACTATATACTACATTCAATGTGGTTTGTGCCTTTTAAGATATATACAATAAAATATAAAAAATAATATAATTATAATAATATTATAAAATATTAAAAAATATACCTGTCTGGATCTTACAAACAAATAAATAAACAAGCCACTGAACAGAACATG